CAGCGAACACCCCAAACACCCCCAAACTCCCCCCAAACCCCCCTTCCCCACCTGTGGCCGGCGGCGGGCTGCAGCCAGGTGTCGTCCACGGGCGGGGGCACGGGCGTGGACACGGTGCTGGCGCCGATGTCGCCGATGACGGCCAGCGCCTCGCGCAGCGCGTGGAACGTGCGCAGCACCTCGTCGCGCCGCTGCGCCTGCTCGGCCGACTCCTCCATCAGGCTGCTCTGGTCGCCCGAGGAGTAGAGGAAAGCCAGGAGCTCCGAGTGGATGAAATCCTTGGTCTGGGGTGGGGGGAAAAAAAAAAAAATTTGGGATTTATCCCCACGTGGAGATGAGGGTGGGATGGTTTGGTGGTGGTGGTGGTGGTGGTGGAGGGTGGGAGGGGTTTTTCCAGGAGGAGGGATGGAAAATTCCACCAAGAATTTTTTGTAAATCCGGTCGTGGCAATGCCCGCTCCATCTCCTTTCGACCGACTCTGTCCCCCTTCCCAAATCCCCAGCCCCCTTCCCAAATCCCCAGCCCCCTTCCCAAATCCCCAGCCCCTTTCCCAAATCCCCAGCCCCCTTCCCAAATCCCCAGCCCCTTTCCCAAATCCCCAGCCCCTTTCCCAGATCTCCGACCCCTTTCCCAGATTTCCGACCCCTTTCCCAAATCTCCAGCCCCTTTTCCATGTTCTCTATCCCCTTTCCCAAATTTCCATCCCCTTTCCCAAATCTCCAACCCCTTTTCCATGCCCTCCATCCCCTTTCCCAAATCTCCAACCCCTTTCCCAGATCTCCATCCTCCTTCCCAAATTTCCATCCCCTTTCCCAAATCTCCAACCCCTTTCCCAGATCCCCATCCTCTTTCCCAAATCTCCATCCACTTTCCCAAATCTCCAACCCCTTTTCCATGCTCTCCATCCCCTTTTCCAAATTTCCATCCTCTTTCCCAAATTTCCATCCTCTTTCCGAAATCTCCATCCCCTTTTCCAAATCTCCAACCCCTTTCCCAGATCTCCATTCTCTTTCCCAAATCTCCATCCACTTTCCGAAATCTCCATCCCCTTTTCCAAATTTCCATCCTCTTTCCCAAATCTCCATCCCCTTTTCCATGCTCTCCATCCCCTTTCCTGGATCTCCAACCCCTTTCCCAAATCTCCATCCCCTTTCCCAAATCTCCATCACCTTTCCCAAATTTCCAACCCCTTTCCCAAATCTCCAAACCCTTTTCCATGTCCTCCATCCCTTTTTCCCTTCTCCTCATCCCCTTTCCCAAAGCTCCATCCCTTTTCCAAGCCCTCCATCCCTTTTCCAAGCCCTCCATCCCTTTTCCATGCCCTCCATCCCCTTTCCCAAATTTCCATCCCTTTCCCATATTCTCCATCCCTTTCCCAAATTTCCATCCCTTTTCCATGCCCTCCATCCCCTTTCCCAAATTTCCATCCCTTTCCCATATTCTCCATCCCCTTTCCCAAATTTCCACCCCTTTTCCAAGCCCTCCATCCCTTTCTCATATTCTCCATTCCCTTTTCCAAGCCCTCCATCCCTTTCCCAAATTTCCATCCCTTTTCCAAGCCCTCCATCCCTTTTCCAAGCCCTCCATCCCCTTTCCCAAATTTCCACCCCTTTTCCATGCCCTCCATCCCTTTCCCAAATTTCCACCCCTTTTCCAAGCCCTCCATCCCCTTTCCCAAATTTCCATCCCTTTCCCATATTCTCCATCCCTTTCCCAAATCTCCATCCCTTTTCCATGCCCTCCATCCCTTTCCCATATTCTCCATCCCTTTTCCAAGCCCTCCATCCCCTTTCCCAAATTTCCATCCCTTTCCCATATTCTCCATCCCTTTCCCAAATTTCCATCCCTTTTCCATATTCTCCATCCCTTTCCCAAATTTCCACCCCTTTTCCAAGCCCTCCATCCCTTTCCCCCTCACATTATTGATCATGAGGTGCATGATGGTCTTTGGCATGAGGTCCCGGATGGATTTGTTGATGATCCCAACGTAGGAATCCACCAGGTTCCGGATGGTCTCCACCTGCCTCTCCAGCTGCGGATCCATGGAAAAGGTGTTTTCCTGGGCGCCCTCCTCGCTCTCCGTCTGCAGGAAAAGGGAAAATTTGGGAATGCTCAGAGCTGGGATCCCGCTGCTGCTCCAGCGCGGCGTTGCCGGATCAGTTCCTCCTGCCCCATCCCTTTTCCAGGTTCTCCATCCCTTTTTCCATGTTCTCCATCCCCTTTTCCAAATCTCCATCCCCTTTTCCAAATCTCCATCCCCTTTTCCAAATCTCCAACCCCTTTTCCATGTTCTCCATCCCCTTTTCCATGTTCTCATCCCCTTTCCCAAATCCCCATCCCCTTTTCCATGTTCTCCATCCCCTTTTCCAAATCTCCAGCCCCTTTTCCATGTTCTCCATCTCCTTTTCCATGTTCTCATCCCCTTTCCCAAATTTCCATCCCCTTTTCCATGTTCTCCATCTCCTTTTCCATGTTCTCCATCCCCTTTCCCAAATCTCCAGCCCCTTTTCCATGTTCTCATCCCCTTTCCCAAATTTCCATCCCCTTTTCCAGGTTCTCCATCCCCTTTCCCAAATCCCCATCCCCTTTTCCATGTTCTCCATCCCCTTTTCCAAATCTCCAGCCCCTTTTCCATGTTCTCCATCCCCTTTCCCAAATCCCCATCCCCTTTTCCATGTTCTCCATCCCCTTTCCCAAATCCCCATCCCCTTTTCCAGGTTCTCCATCCCCTTTCCCAAATCCCCATCCCCTTTTCCATGTTCTCCATCCCTTTTTCCATGTTCTCCATCCCCTTTCCCAAATCTCCAACCCCTTTTCCAAATCTCCAACCCCTTTTCCAGGTTCTCCAACCCCTTTTCCATGTTCTCCATCCCCTTTTCCATGTTCTCCATCCCCTTTTCCCCCTCCCCATCCCCCTTCCCCAGATTCCAGGGATCCATTCCCCATCCCCGTGGATTTGGGATGGGATTTGGGATTTGGGACGGGATTTGGGATCGATTTGGGATTTGGGACAGGATTCAGGACAGGATTCAGGATGGGATTCAGGATGGGATTTGGGATATGGGATGGGATTTGGGACGGGATTTGGAATTTGGGATGGGATTTGGGATTTGGGTCGGGATTCGGGATGGGATTTGGGATGGGATTTGGGACAGGATTTGGGATGGGATTTGGGATGGGATTTGGGATCGATTTGGGATTTGGGACAGGATTCAGGACAGGATTCAGGACGGGATTCAGGATGGGATTTGGGATTCGGGATGGGATTTGGGACAGGATTTGGGATCGATTGGGATTTGGGATGGAATTTGGGATGGATTTGGGTTGGGATTCAGGACAGGATTCGGGACAGGATTCGGGATTCAGGACAGGATTCGGGATGGGATTCAGGACAGGATTTGGAATCGATTTGGGATTTGGGATGGAATTTGGGATGGATTTGGGTCGGGATTCGGGATGGGATTCAGGACAGGATTTGGGATCGATTTGGGATTTGGGACGGGATTCAGGATGGGATTTGGGATTCGGGATGGGATTCAGGACAGGATTTGGGATCGATTTGGGATTTGGGACGGGATTCAGGATGGGATTTGGGATTCGGGATGGGATTTGGGACAGGATTTGGGATCGATTGGGATTTGGGATGGAATTTGGGATGGATTTGGGTTGGGATTCAGGACAGGATTCGGGACAGGATTCGGGATTCAGGACAGGATTCGGGATGGGATTCAGGACAGGATTTGGAATCGATTTGGGATTTGGGATGGAATTTGGGATGGATTTGGGTCGGGATTCGGGATGGGATTCAGGACAGGATTTGGGATCGATTTGGGATTTGGGACGGGATTCAGGATGGGATTTGGGTTGGGATTCAGGACAGGATTCGGGACAGGATTCGGGATTCAGGACAGGATTCGTGATGGGATTCGGGTCGGGATTTGGGATTTGGGATTCGGGATTCACCTGGTCCTTCTCGGGATAAACTCCGGCCCGCAGGAACGAGGCTTTCCAGCTGTCCACGTCCTCCTGGGAATCGCAGGCCAGCTCGATCTGCCGCAGATCCTTGTAGACATTCCTGCGGGAAAAACGGGATTTGGGATCCCGAATTCCCACGGAATCCCGGATTCCCCCCCCACCGTGGCCTCCAGGAGCTCCAAGGGAAAAATCCTGGAAAACCGGGAGAATTCCCAACCTCTGCTCCGTGTTGAAGATGGCGAAGATGTGCTTGGTGGACATGAATCCCTTCTCCACATCCCGGATTTTCAGATTATCCAGGGGCAGCATGAACTTCTTCTCCTTTTCCTGGGAATTGGGGACGGGAGGGAAGCGGGAATCAGCTCCCTCGAGGCCCAGGAGGGGGAAGGAACCGGGAATTCGGGAATTGCAGGGCCCAAAGTCCCGTTGGAAAAGGCTCATCCCGCGCCTTCCCCGGGAATCTGGGAATTCTTCCCCCGGGAATCCCAGATTTTCCCCATTTTTCCCCCAGAAATCTCGGATTTTCCCTGTTTTTTCCCCCCAAAATCCCATGTTTTCCCCATTTTTTCCCCAAAATCCCATATTTTCCCTGTTTTTCTGCCCATAAATCCCATTTTCCCCCCAAAATCCCATATTTTCCCCGTTTTTCCCCCAAAATCCCAGATTTCCCCATTTTTTCCCCCGTAAATCCCATTTTTTCCCCTCAGAACCCCATATATCCCATTTTTCCCCCCAAAATCTCTTATTTTCCCCGTTTTCCCCCCAGAAATCTCGGATTTTCCCCGTTTTTCCCCCAAAATCCCAGATTTCCCCGTTTTCCCCCCCAAAACCCCAAATTTCCCCCGTTTTCCCCCCATAAATCCCATTTTCCCCCCCAAAATCCCATATTCCCTCATTTTTCCCCCCGTAAATCCCAT